AGCAACTTCCTCAGCTTTAATCAGGTTACGTTCTCTGATGAATGTTCGTATCTGGTGGGGAAGAGCTGTCAGGAACTGGTCAGCAACCATGAAGTCTCTAAGAGATTCATAACTGTGATCAATTCCTGAACTCTCTATCCAAAAGTCGAACAAACGAAAGAGTGTTACCTGTAGCTGCTGAAAGTTCTGGCCAGGCTGTAAGGTGGCATACCTGAAATCTTTCCTGTAAGTATTTGTGGTTTTTTGATATGCTTTAAGGATAAACTTCTTCAGTAGGTTATAATTACATATGATATCCTGCGACAAAGTTGCATAGATATTTAAGGCTGTACCAGAAAATATCATTCCTAACCTGGTAGCCCAGGTGTCAGCAGGCCATTCACAGAGGGTAGCGGTATTTTCAAACCTGATAATGTATGAAGTTATGTCTTCCCTCTCTGTGAAGGGAGGTAAATTAGGTGTTGGAATATGTGCACTGACTGCACGTTGTTCCATTACTCCTTCCTCTAATTGTTGTTGAGTAAAAGTTAACTTTTTATTCTCTAATTCAAGGCGAGATTTTTCGAGCTCGCGATCCTTTTCTCTATTAACTCATGTTCTCTAGCTTTTTCCTCAACTTCTCTATCCTTTGCTCTTTCCTCAAGTCCTCTTAATTTAACCTGTTCCTTACGTATCTTAGCTTGTTCCTCACGTTCCCTAGCTCTTTCCTCACGATCAAGTCTATCACGCTCTTTTTGGTCTTCTCGCTCTCTTTCTAACTGTCTTTCTTGGATTTCTCTCTCAATTCTCTCTTTCTCCTTTTTCTCTTCTCTTTCGATTCTCTCTCTCTCCTTATTCTCTTCTCTTTCCCTTTCTAGCTGTCTTCTCTCTCAATTCTCTCTCTTTCAAGTCTTTCCTGGATCTTAGCACTAATGAAAAATTCTAAATTTTTCCCTGTTATTCCTAACTTACTTCCAGCATTCATCCAAAACTGGTATTCCTCCATGCTTGCAAGAATAACTTAAACTATCAGGGGAAATGAAACGGGTATTAAAGAAAACGGAGGGTTCAATTCCTGCTCCGCTCAAACTGTAAATAAACCAAGAGGGCTCGATCCCTGCTTCAATTAAACAATATGTATTAACGAAAACGAAGGGTTCTATGCCGGCTCCGAGCAAACAGTAAGTAGAATGGGGTCCCTTGACCATCCAATCTTCTCACCAACAAATCAAGAGTGTCCTATGACAGTTCCCTTGATATAATGAAGAGCTCAATGAAACAAGTTGTCACTGGAAAATCTCGGGTCCCTAGAGTCTAATCCTCCAAAGTGTTTCAAGCTCACACACAAATAGGTGGCAGAATTAAATATTATATCCTGCCTGACTTGACTTACAATAAATTGAGACTATAACAATAACCAAATCTTTTAAATACCAGTACTGTAGTCCTACCATAGAGAATGATTACTCATGGCTGGTGATAACCGTCTGTGGTATGCAGCGTTGAAGGTCCAATGGTAGATTCGAGATGGAGTTGAATCTTGATTCAGTAGAGTTGTATCCTGGCAAGGTCGCCACTTGTGAAGGCTTACTCAGCCCTGTAACAACTTCAGACAGTATTACCAAGGCTGGCTCCTCCTCAGGAAAATTAGTGAATAGAAAAAGAAATAATAACAGACAAACATAAACACTTTATTATGTAGAAAATATAAAATGTAAAACACTTAAATATGAAATATTAATCCTACATTAAAGAAAATGAAAAATATAAATGATAACTGAATTCAACGCTAATTTAAAACTTGGGTGTCTGGTGTTGGTGACACTGCTTGTTGAAATCGTAGCCGTTGCTGATGTGGGGGGGGGGGGGGGGTGCGCAGGTGTTGGTGACCACCACTGGCTAGTTCTTCACAGAGAATCGCCGTGATTATTATCCCGATGACAGGAAAGCAGGTTCTTTACCGCTGCAATGATGTGGGGTTACGTCCTGCAATTTCATACAGGTGCACAGGTAGTTCAATACAAAATGGGACGTCTCCAGGACGTTAGTCCGTCTCCTGTTCTTCTCGTTGATTGACAGGTGACGCTCACTGTCATCCAAGCTGAAAAGATAGACAGGTTACCCACTGCTTAAATAATCATCTCCCCATGGCAGTGTAACATACTCAAAAGACGTGGTGATTATTACAACAGTCAACCTAGATCAAGACTGAAAGGACTAAGTTTATTGGTCAAAAGTGAAGCTTTTAACCAATAAATCCACTAGAATACAAGGCAGGCATGTACTTACAGTAGTGTTGGGAGCTGTGAGTCGAGTGATTTACTGTTTGACCAGAGCCCCACACGTCACCTTTCGAGGGGGGGGAAGAGGGAGGGGAAGGGATAGCGGGAGCTAGACTGACCCTACGTTAACAAGCAGCCGGCAATCAAACTATCACTTTAGGGGTGGTGGGAGAAAAGGCCCGAAAAACGGGAGCGTGACTTACCCTACCTTAACTAGTAGCCGGCAATGAAACTATCACTACTATATCTCTACTCCTATCTATTGAACTTTTCCCTCACATTGAAAGAATTAGAGTAAGATGGAGAGTAGGATAGCAGATTAACAAGGAGGCTTTCGGAAAGGTAGGGGGTGTGTAGACCAGTGTTTACAGTGAAACATATAGGTAAACAGTATTTAGATAAGTGTAAGGAGGTTTTTGTGGCATTTATGGATTTGGAAAAGGCATATGACAGACCATACCCCCGGGATTGAACCCGCGGTCAGAGAGTCTCAAAACTCCAGCGGTTTGTTTGCAATCGATGTCATTACGATTTCGTGAGGTTATGACAGGGTGGATAGGGGGACAGTGTGGTAGATGTTGCAGGGTATGGTATAGGAGGTAGGTTTACTGAAAGCAGTGAAGAGTTTTTACAAGGATAGTGAGCCTCAGGTTAGAGTATGTAGGAGAAAGGGAGATTATTTCACAGTAAAAGTAGGCCTTAGACAAGGATGTGTGATGTCACCGTAGTTGTTCAATATATTTATAGATGGGGTTGTAAGAAAAGTGAATGCGAGGGTCTTGGCAAGAGGTGTGGAGTTAAAAGATAAAGAATCCAACACAAAGTGGGAGTTGTCACAGTTGCTCTTTGCTGATGACACTGTGCTTTTGGGAGATTCTGAAGAGAAGTTGCAGAGGTTGGTGGATGAATTTGGTGGGGCATGTAAAAGAAGAAAATTAAAAGTGAATATAGGAAAGAGTAAGGTTTGAGGATAAAAGATTAGGTGGTGAAAGATTGGAATCATATTGGAGGGAGAGAGTATGGAGGAGGTGAATGTACTCAGATATTTGGGAGTGGACGTGTTAGCAGACGGTGTCTAGAGGATGAATCATAGAATTGATGAGTGGAAAAAGGGCGAGTGGCACTTAGGAGTCTGTGGAGACAAAGAACTATTGTGAAGCAAAGAGGGGAATGTATGAGAGTATAGTTGTACCAACACTCTTGTATGTGTGTGAAGCATGGGTGGTGAATGTTGCAACGAGAAGGCTGGAGGCAGTGGAGATGTCATGTCTGAGGGTTATGTGCGGTGTAAATATAATGCAGAAAATTCGTAGTTTGGAAGTTAGGAGGAGGTGCGGGATTACTGAAACTATTATCCAGAGGGCTGAGGGGGTTATTGAGATGGTTTGGACATGTAGAGAGAATGGAACAAAACAGAATGACTTCGAGAGTGTATAAATCTGTAGTGGAGGGAAGGCGGGGTAGGGGTTGGCTTAGAAAGGGTTGGAGGGAGGGGGGTAAAGGAGGTTTTGTGTGCGAGGGGCTTGGACTTCCAGCAAGCATGCGTGAGCGTATTTATAGGAGTGAATGGAGACAAATGGTTTTTAATACTTGACGTGCTGTTGGAGTGTGAGCAAAATAACATTTATGATGGGATTCAGGAAAACCGGCAGGCCGGACTTGAGTCCTGGAAATGGGAAGTACAGTGCCTGCACTCTGAAGGAGGGCTGTTAATGTTGCAGTTTTATAACTGTAGTGTAAAGCACCCTTCTGGCAAGACAGTGATGGAGTGAATGATGAAAGTTTTTCTTTTTCGAGCCACCCTGCCTTGGTGGGAATCGGCCGATGTGTTAATTAAAAAAAAATAATAAAAAAAGTATAAGCGAGGTCATTCCTCATATTTTAAATTACCCATTTCATTGAGATTTTTCCATACAGATCAGATAAACCCGATACAAAAGTCTCCTTACGAAAAATAAATAGAGAATTGAGTCAAATTGCTGATTCACGAGAATCATTCTTGCCTACCAAGTTTTCAGACGCATCAGTAAGGTATCTGAAGCAGTGGACCACGATAAAAAAAATAATAAGATTTACCCGGGCTCTTTTAAAAAAAAAAAGTGGGGACACACTGTATCGGAGGGATAAAAAAAAAGTGATCGTGCCACAGTAGTCAGTTTTGAACGCATTCCTGTTAGAAATCTTTATAAATATGCTAATTTATAAACTGAGAGGAGGGTATCGTGGAATTTTAGATTCGTCAGAAACCAGCATTTAGGGGAGAAACTTTGACGAAGTTTCAGTCCGTGTTGGACCATTGTCAAGTTAAAACTTGGACGAGAAAAGTAGAGAAGGCCAGAAGACAATATGGTAGAGGGCGGGGAAGGGAGTAGTAGTAGTAATACTAGTAGTAGTGGTAGTAGTAGTATAGTAGAAACAGTAGTAGTAGTAGAGGTGGTAATAGCAGTAGTAGCAGCAGCAACAGTAGTTAGTAGTAGTAGCAGCAGCAGCAACAATAGTTAATAGTAGTAGCAGCAACAGTAGTTGTAGCAGCAGCAACAGTAGTTGTAGCAGCAGCATCAGTAGTAGTAGTGGAGTCCAAGACAAAGAAAATGAGCATTGGAAGGGAGCTAGGGGCTCACAAAGAGTAAGAAGAAAAACACAGAAGTGAGGGAGGGGGAACACACATCAGAAAATTATTCATTTATAAGAGAATAAGCTAGGATAGTATAACAAGTGTTTAAAAGTATTAACACTTACCCTTATCCCAAACACTTTCCTTAAAAGTGCTAGAGACATATATTGACACATTTTATTGCCCAGACGTCCTTTTGTGTTCATTGAGACGTAAGGCAACGAACAGTCTGTAAAAGAGTAAATAATAACGTTTTGGAAACATTTTTCGACAGTGGTTTTGAGGTCACATAGATATAATGGAAAGAATAAGATGTATATTGTATACATTCAAACCACGATAATTCAGTAAAGTCGTACAGTGGGACTTATTTTCACTGGATTCCCAGTGGGTCGTCATCGAAGGCCGGCTATGATAACTGCACTGGAGTCCCAGTGGGTCGTCACTGAAGGCCGGCCATGATAAATCTGCACGGGAGTCCCAGTGGGTCATCACTGAAGGCCGGCCATCATAACTTTGCACTGGAGTCCCAGTGGGTCATCACTGAAGGCTGGCCATGATAACTCTGCACTGGAGTCCCAGTGGGTCATCACTGAAGGCCGGCCATGATAAATCTGCACGGGAGTCCCAGTGGGTCATCACTGAAGGCCGGCCATCATAACTTTGCACTGGAGTCCCAGTGGGTCATCACTGAAGGCCGGCCATCATAACTTTGCACTGGAGTCCCAGTGGGTCATCACTGAAGGCTGGCCATGATAACTCTGCACTGGAGTCCCAGTGGGTCATCAATGAAGGCCGGCCATCATAACTTTGCACTGGAGTCCCAGTGGGTCATCACTGAAGGCTGGCCATGATAACTCTGCACTGGAGTCCCAGTGGGTCATCAATGAAGGCCGGCCATCATAACTTTGCACTGGAGTCCCAGTGGGTCATCACTGAAGGCCGGCCATGATAACTGCACTGGAGTCCCAGTGGGTCATCAATGAAGGCTGGCCATAAACCCAAATGGTTTAGGATTCGACGTGATTCCATTTATATCAAATATCATTGATTCTGAAAATCCATCTACTTAATATCAGGCTTATTGGGCGATAATTAGATGACAGTGGCTTATTTTCCCGATTTGTATTTGAGAATCTCATTTATCACCTTCTGTATCTCTGGTTTTTAAAGCCCTTACTTTATCTGACATCTTTACTGAAAGCTCCACCTTTGACACAGACTCCCTGTTTGACCTTTTTGTCAAAAGCAGATTTATTACACTAACTCTGATTATACTTTCCACTTAAATTTTTAAAGGGATGGCGGGGTTAACCAGCGGAAGGCCTCGGTCAGATGACCAAAAGCTCCAGCTGCGGGTTATCGTATGACTAAGACCCGCGTCAAGAAACACTTGTCCTGTTTCCTGACAAACCTAACCTAACCTAACTCCTCACTGCTCTTACTATACCTATGACATATTCTACACACCCCTCTGGTCTCTGGTCAGATATATTACACCTTAACTACACCCTACCTACAACGCTACATTATCCTTGTAGATTTAGCACTTATGACTGTAGTAATTACAATAACACATCTCTGGTAGGACAACCGCTTGTCTTGTTATAGTGAGTAGATTAGTTAGAAGAAGATTGAAGATTGAGACACTCATGCAGCATATGGGAATCTTTATTGAGGAAACGTTTCGCCTACACAGTAGCCCACATCAGTACAATACGAAGCAGAAACCATTCGTCACAAGAAGATTGAAGACGGTTGGTTAGTGCTCAGGGATCAGTGTTGATTCTGTCACTCCACTTCACAAAAAGTCAGCATTTGGATGAGGAATCTGTTGCAGTTCTCTACCACTGTCAAGTTCCTAGTCAGATAAAACCTAACAATGGCTAGAATGGATCAAGGATTTTGGTGAATTGTTGCAGCCACGGTAATTGACACTTATATTGTTGCAGCCACGGTATTGACACTTATATTGTTGCAGCCACGTATTGACACTTATATTGTTGCAGCCACGGTATTGACACTTGTATTGTTGCAGCACCGTATTGACACTTATATTGTTGCAGCCACGGTATTGACACTTATATTGTTGCAGCCACGGTATTGACACTTATATTGTTGCAGCCACGGTATTGACACTTATATTGTTGCAGCCACGGTATTGACACTTGTATTGTTGCAGCCACGGTATTGACACTTATATTGTTGCAGCCACGGATTGACACTTATATTGTTGCAGCCACGGTATTGACACTTATATTGTTGCAGCCACGGTATTGACACTTATATTGTTGCAGCCACGGTATTGACACTGTATTGTTGCAGCCACGGTATTGACACTTATATTGTTGCAGCCACGGTATTGACACTTATATTGTTGGCAGCCACGGCATTGACACTTATATGTTGCAGCCACGGTATTGACACTTATATTGTTGCAGCCCACGTATTGACACTTATATTGTTGCAGCCACGGTATTGACACTTGTATTGTTGCAGCCACGGTATTGACACTTACATTGTTGCAGCCACGGTATTGACACTTATATTGTTGCAGCCACGTTTTAAACCATTTTAATTGTTGCAGCCACGGTATTGACACTTTATTTTTGCAGCCACGAAATTGACACTAATTGTTGCAGCCACTTTTGAAAAAAAAAAAAAAAAACATTTCATTGTTGCCCCCCACGGTTTTGAAAACTTATATTGTTGAAACCACGGTTTGACATTTTTAAAATTGTTGCAGCCACGGTATTGCCCACTTTGTTCCCCCAAACGGAAAGGGACACTTAATTTTGAAAGCCACGGTATTGACATTTAAATATTTTTTTGGGGTTTTTGCAGCCACGGTTTTGACCCTTATTTGTTGCACCCAGGGTATTAAACACTTATTTTGTTACCACGGTATTGACATTAAATTTTTGCAGCCACGGTTTTGACACTTAAATGTTCCACCCCAGGGTATTGAAAATTTTTTAAATTTTTTCCAAGCCACGGTTTTTGACACCTAATGTTGAAAGCCAGGGTTTTTGACATTATATTGTTTTGCCAAAAAAGGCCCAGGGAAATTGACCCTTTTATTGTTGCAGCCACGGTATTGCCCATTTAAATTGTTGAAACCCCAGGTTTTTGACACTTATTTGGGGGCGCCACGGAAATTTGACACTTATTTTTGTTCCAGCCAGGGTTTTTGACATTATATTTTTTCCACCAGGGAATTGGGAAAACATATTTTTGCAGCCAGGGTATTACATTATATTTTTTTCCAGCCAGGGTATTGACATTATATTTTTTGCAGCCACGGTATTGACACTTAATTGTTTCAGCCAGGGTATTGACACTTAATTGTTCCAGCCACGGTATTGACACTTATTTTGGGTTGCAGCCAGGGTATTGCCCATTATTTTGTTGCAGCCCCCGGTATTGACACAATTTTGTTTGCAGCCACGGTAATTGACACTTTTTTGGGTTGCACCCCACGGATTGACACTTATTTGTTGCGGGCCCCCGGTTTAATTGACACTTAATTGGGGAAACCCAACGAAATTGACACTTAAATTTTTTCCGGGCCCCGGTATTACCCTTATATTTTTTTCCAGCCAGGGTTTTTACACTTAAAAGGTTCCAGCCAGGGTTTTGACATTAAAATTGTTCCAGCCAGGGTTTTGGGACACTTATATTGGCAGCCAGGGTATTGAAAATTTTAAAATGTTAAAAGGCCACGGTATTGACTTTTAATTTATTGTTTTGCACCAGGGTATTGGGACCAATATTGTTCCAGCCACGGTAGGACACCTATATTGTTGCCAACCCCCCGGGGAGGGATTTAACCCCAAATTTTATAATTTTTTTCCAGCCAGGGAATTGACATTAATGTTCCAGCCAGGGTATTGCCCTTATATTGTTCCAGCCAGGGAATGAACATTTTATATGCCCCCAGCCACGGTATTGAAACAAATTTTTCCCAGCCACGGTATTGCCCTTAAAATTTTGGGCCCAAGCCACGGTATTGGGGCTTTTATAGGTTCCGCCAAAAAATTGCCTTATATTGTTCCAGCCAGGGTATTGCCCTTATATTGTTCCAGCCAGGGGGAAATTGACATTTTTTCCAGCCACGGTCGTGACATTTGTTCCAGCCACGATACTGTGTTTTTATTTTTTCCACCACGGTACTTGCCCTTTATTGTTCCAGCCACGGTACTGGGGACATTTTGTTCCAGCCACGGTAAGTGACAATTGTTCACCACGGAAACGTCCCCATTTTGGGTTCCAGCCACGAACTTTTGACATTTTTTCCCAGCCACGATACTGTACTTATTTTTCCAGCCAGGGAAACTTGACTTATATTGTTCCCAGCCAGGGAACTTTTGCTTATATTGTTCCACCACTTTACTGGGGACATAGTTCCAGCCAGGGTACTGTGACTTATTTTTTGTTCCAGCCAGGGGAAACTGGGGAATATTTTTCCAGCCACGATACGTGACTTATATTTTTCCACCAGGGTACGTGACATATTGTTCCACCCAGGGTACTGGGAAATTTTTTCCCCAGCCAGGGGGGGGGGGGGGGGGGGGGGGGGGGGGGGGGGGGGGGGGGGGGGGGGGGGGGGGGGGGGGGGGGGGGGGGGGGGGGGGGGGGGGGGGGGGGGGGGGGGGGGGGGGGGGGGGGGGGGGGGGGGGGGGGGGCGGGTTTTTTGGGAAAAACATATTGTTCCAGCCACGGTACTGTGGACATTTGTTTTTTTTTCCACCACGGTACGTACATATTTTTCCCCACCACGTACTGTGACTTTTTTAATTGGTTTTCCACCACGGTACTGTGACATTTTGGGTTCCAGCCAGGGTACGTGACATATTTTTCCAGCCACGGTAACTGTGACATATTGTTCCCCAGGGTTACTTTTTTACCAAAATTTTTTCCCAGCCACGGTACTGTGACATATTGTTCCAGCCACGATACTGTGACTTATTTTGGGTTCCCAAAGCCAGGGTACTGTGACATATTGTTTCCAGCCACGTACGGTGACATATTGTTTCCAGCCACGTTTACTGTGACTTATTTGTTCCAGCCACGGTACTGTGACATTTTTTTTTTCCCGCCCCGGTACTGGGACATATTTTTTTCCACCACGGAAAACGTGACATATTTTTTCCCAAACCCCAAAGGAAACTTTTGACAATTTTTCCCAACCCCCACGGAAACTGGACATTTTTTTTTTCCAGCCACAAA